TCAGATTGCTGGAAACTCTTTGCTCAGCTCTGAAATTATACTAAATATATATATATAACTGCAGACAGAACTGTTTCGGACTTCTGGGCCTCATCAGTGCAGTGCTGATGCTAGGAAGGGGAAGAACCGATATGGATCTCCAAACGATCCCACACTTGTGGTATCGTCTAAACCATGCCAGAGTTCTCAAACTAGAAGAGCCTAGTGAGCTATGCACAATGCTAGTGGCGATGACTCATCATATATATCGCGCCCAAATAATTGTTTTATATTACGTCAAGTGGGGAAGTTTTTTAGGTCAGAAAGTCGTACTGCTTATAGAAAATTTTCGTACTATTTTGACATGGCATAACTCTCCCATTTTGTTTACGTGACTTGCGCAGTGGTTTTTAAATAAGTTCGCAGTCATCTGAGAATATGAAAATAAAAGGTAAAAAAATACAATTCAAGATAAATTAAAAAATCTTGGTAATGGTTACTTTTCACAATGAAGGGATTTAAGGTAATAAAACAATCGCTACAGTAAAGACAGCGTGAAAGAATAAATCAGTACTAAAAAACCTTTGTTCAACAAAAAGGGCTAAAAATATCCTCAGAGCTTAACATCGGTTGTCTTTCAAAGATTCGAAAATGTCACAAATATTTTTGCCATTCTAGTAATCGTGGTAATTACAATAATTAGAGACGAGTTACAATCAAATATCCTGGTTTGTTTGTGGCGAGCAGGTCAAACTGCTCATTACTTTTAAGGCATCATAAAAGGTGAAATGAAAGAGAAAGAAAATGAATTTTTCTGTACCCTCCCAGAGAACATTGACAGTCTGTATTTCAATCCAAATCTCAGTTTACGATGAATTCGCATATGATCCAGTGCAGACACTATAAACCTGTCTTTTGGTTCACAGAAGGAGGAAGATTCTGCCTTCAGGCTCTACAGGCCAGCGGTATTGGAATAAGAAGAACAGCAAGTAAATCCAACATTCTTTACAAATATATGTTACCTAAATCATTTATTCAGTTGAATAATTGTGCTAAAGGTTTGGTGAGAAAGGCTGAAGATAACAGTATATATTCCTTAGTAGGCTCCTGATTCCTTTAATCTTATTACCAAAACCGGGTGAATTATTATCAAATTGATAAAGGCTACATGCAATTTACATGAGGAACGTATCAGAAGATAATCACCTAATAAATATCATTCTAAACGTTATACTATTGCCATTATTATCACTCATAAATGAAGTTCAATTTTGTATCTGTATCACAGATCGAAACACGAGGGTGCAGACCCGAATTAACGTGAGTATGTTAAATAACAGCATCTTCGTAAACTTCTCTAGGTCTTTTTTTATTTGGGGCGATAGTTTTATATCAAAACGAAGTAAAGCCGTAGAAAATTATCGATGAGAACCTTTCATTGTGGGTGGTTCTCCAAGAGCGAAGCATGAGGGAAAATTTTAGTTTTGACGGACAGAATATGTTCAAGGTCAAATATTTAAGCACATTTTTGTGCCTAATGTTGATTTTTGTTGATTTAGAATCTGAGGTGAATACTTTTTAATTAGTATATACAACACAGGAGCTAAAAGATGTTGATTTGTTTCTGTCAATGTACCTACAAATGCTCGACAATAAAATCATTAACGCGCGACTTTGTCTTTTCGGCTGCTCCAAATGAGTAAATCAGCGCGCGCGAAAAGCATTATTCCCCTGTTTGGTAGAAACTAACATCGAACACCGCAAATCTCCAAGTTTTAGCAGAGATGGATTAGAATGTGGAATATTTTTTTCGAGAAGGTTTGTGAAGTTTTTTGTACCAGCGGTGTACGGGTTGATGGTCTGAACAACGACGAACTAGGGCTGTATCTAGTATGCAGTAAACAGATCTGAGGCGGAGTTGGAAGTCGCGGGGTTGCTACAATTCTGCCCTCGACGTAAAACCAGCAGAAGCCGGCCGCTCACCATCACGGGTTGTGCCCTAGATGAGGATAGGACCAAGAGGTTTAGGCCTTGGCTACCTCCGGCTGAGGATCCCGACGAAGATGCAGTGAGGAGAATGCAATGAAAATGGTTCTTTCTTTTATAATGGGAAACCATTTGTACAAGTTTGACGGCCAGATAAAGCTGCAGTCCAAGGGGGTCCGATAGGCTTACAACTTACTGGCGTTCTTGCTCAGTTGTTCAGGGTATGGTCGGATAGGCAGTTCAAGATCAAGATGGATGAGAACGGGTTGAGGGTGAGGATGTACAAGAGATATGTCGATGACAAATGTCGTTGTAGATGTTCCCGGTGCAGGCCTTAGGTTTATTGAGAGTGAGGGTAGGGTTATCCGAGGAGAAGACATCCTTGAACAAGAGCTGGCCATCGAAGCTGATAAAAGATGCCTGAATCTGGTGCAGAAGATTGGAAACAGCGTTCACCCGTCCATTTCGTTAGAAGTTGATTACCCTTCGTAACATGTAGATGGCAAACTGCCCATCCTTGATTTAAAAGTTTGGGTGGAGTCGAGGCGGGTACAGGGTGTGGGAGAAGGAGAGAATAAAGTGAGTGTGGTTTTGCACGAGTTTTATTCTAAGGATGCGGCATCAAAGTGTGTGGTCAATGCCAGGTCAGCCATGTCTTGGAGCTGTACAAGAACCATACTCACTCAAGAGGTCTTGAGCATATTACGCAACTGCAGCAGGGAGCTTCTTTGGGAAGTTGTTGTCGGCCACGTGAACCACATGATGTTGCGCCTCTGGTTATAATCAGAAGTTCAGAACGGAGGTTGTGCGGTCAGCACTGAAAGCATACAACCGTATGATAGGGCTAGACGCGAGTGGTGAGCAACCCTTGTACAGACCGAGAGAATGGAAGCGGATAGAACGAGATCAGAAGAGAAGAGAAAAGCGGGAATCCT